TTTCAGAGGCAATTTCGTACTGTCAGTGATTAAGACAGATAACAAAATGGAGGCAATGCATAATGTCCGTTCTCAAGCCAGGCTTAATTCAAAATAGTGCTTGCATAGAGCTGTGGAAATACTGTTTCTGTATTCAGTTGTTATTGAATTGAATTTATTTACATTCTATAAATCCTAAGTAGGTTAGTACCTTTGGATACAGAACAAGTCAAAAGGTTACATGCATAAGTACAGGCAATTTTAGCTTAAAAATTAATATAACTTAATTTTACATCATTCTCTATTTACATTGAAGTATTCATCTAAAGAGTAGAAGGAATGAGCATGTAGATAATTCTTTAACTCTGATTTAAACTTTTTAGTATCATTGCCCAAGTTTTTAATACTTTGTGGCAGATTGTTGAACACTTTTATGCCAGTAAAGTAGACTCCTTTTTTATATACTGATAAAGTTGATGAGGGTAGGTGGAAGTTATATTTTTGTCTAGTATTCATGTTATAGACATCAGAATTTAATTTGAATTTATCTAATTTAAACTAATTGAGGAATTAAATACATAACTAACTCATTTTCATAGAACTTCATTTTTACTACGCCATGAAGACGACTGGGGGAGTGACTACGGGACGGGTTATTGAAAACAAAAACCTTCACTGTCAAGATATGCCACTTTACTGTCCAATGTAACTGACTTGCCCCACTCGCGCGCTGCAATGCATAGTGTCCGTGGTGAAGCCAGATACAAATAAAAAATGGTTACAGAGGTGCTCTGTCCGTTGTCATGGCAGGTAGAATTCAAATTGCTGCTTTAATAGAACTCTGACAATATTGTTTCTGTATTTAGTTGTTAATTTGAGTAATTATATTCATAATTAAAAGTAAAACTCCGAACATCATTTTCATAGAATTTCATCATATGCACTATGCCCTGAAGACGAATGGGGGAGTGGCTATGTGACAGCATGTCGAGAGAACTTCGGAGTCAAGATATGCCACTTCACTGTCCACTGGAATTAACTTGCTGTTTGCAATGCATAGTGCTAGTGGCCAAGCCACGTACAAAAACAAAATGGATGCAATGGTGTACTCTCTGTTGTCAAGCCAGGCAGAGAACGAAATCGTGCTTGCAGAGATTTTGTATTCAGTTGTTAAAGTAATAGGGATTATATGCATAACTAAGAGACAAATTCGGAACATATTTTCATGTACGTTCTGCCTGCACTATGCCATGAAGACACCTGGAGGTGTTGCTGCGGGGTGGGAAATCGAAAGAACTTCGCTGTCAAGATATACCTCCTTACTGTCAATTCGAATATACTTGCATATACCTCTTCGACTGTTCTAGTAGCCGGATACAAATCCACTGTTTTAGAAGTGTCGTTACAAGCTACCAGCCGTATCTGATGACTCGAGTAACAAAATGTTGCTCACCAGGAACTTTGGAAATTTCAGTAGTAGTAACATTAATATATGTATCTATCACTTTACTGCCGGCAGCAATAAATTTGCTTCAGACACGTCCTGCATATATTTTTCCTGGTCTATCCTAATTTCCAGTGTTTCACTCCTATTAGTGGTAATGCCAGACATCCATTTGTGATGGGTAATTAAACAAATGAAGAGAGCACTGGAAATTGCTAGTTTGTATCCATGTGTTAGCATACCTGAATCTGTAATGCCCTACTGTTTCAACTTCCTGCAGTCACATCCTAGCTACCTCTGCCTTTATCGTAATAGCCGTATACAAATTCAGTATTTTAGAGGCACTAGTTGCCTTAGTGTCCATGTATCATCATCTGCAGCAGCATTGTAACAAATTGTTGCAACCCCATGACTCAATCTGTATGATTACCTGCTTCACATGACAATGAAAATACATGTTAAAAATTTTGTTGTTATTGGAGAGGGTGAGTTTCCCCATGCACTTAGACCAGCTGTTGGTCCATTGTGGGTCCCCCTGTGATATTCTACCGGTCTCTATACCCTACCGGTACTGGTGCGTACCATCAGTCCTGACTCAGCCAGCAAGTTCGGCCTCTACTTGCTCAGCGGTATCTCGATGCTTCCCCCATCTACCAGAGACGTTAGAGACTACTGTTGGGCGGGAAATGTCCTGAATTTGGCTCAGAGGTCCACTTGAGACATGAGGTTCTTTTATGTGCCGTAAAGCTACGACATGGGACCCACAGCTTAAAGTCCTTCCCGGAGGACTTGTTCCCTGAATTTTTCCGCCCTTAAAAATTCCATGACCTCTGCCAGGTTTGAACCCGCATACCTATTAAAAATGTTACTATTATGTTTCAAAAATAATCACCATTCTCGTCCTGGACATTTCGTATTGTGTAAGTGCACACACTGGGTAGGCAGCAACATGTCTGGTATATAATTTGCCTATGTATCAGTGAATTTTAGTACTTAAAAGGAAGCAAGATCTCACCTGTTCCCATACATTACCTGTAGAATGACTGCTGTCTGTACATTTCTCACTATGAATGTGATGTTGCAGGCATTTCTCAAGACTAGCTTGATAGGGATGTATGGGCTGTGCATTTCTCCATCAACCTTTGCTAGGATTTTTACTACTACTACAACAACAACCATCAACACTTCTATTACTGCTGTCAATTTTTAGTACCTACTGAATAAAACTTTTCCACTTTTGCTGCAAACAGTTCTTCAACCAGAAGTCTTGTGATCACATCAGACTGAATCAAGCAATGTGCAATTTCATAAATGACTATGGTCTGATCAGAGGTGTAGGTCTATCAGATACACAAAAAGGAATTAATTTTTGAAACTACACCAGATACATTTTCATAATATACCTGTAGAATTCTACAGATTCTCTTCCATAATTAAAAAATATATATAATACAGTATGCCATACTATAGAGCCTCCATATGGAACTTGGATTTAAACATTTTCTGATGATGAGGTGGACTCAAATATCATCAAAACCTTAGGGCCCCCATACACACACAGTTTGGCCTCCAGTTCGGCCTGCACAGTTGAAGACTGAAAGGCAAAACTGACGTGTGTGGTGCGGCCGGCCGGCCAATCATTTGGACTGTTGGCCTGTGAGAAACCCATCAGTCCATCAGTTCTGCCTGCAGGACCGTAGCACGTGACGCGTGTGACTCAACATTATAGGCTGGAAGACCGTGATTGTTGGCATGAAGCCTGCCGCTTCATCTGCGCGTGTATGGGGAGGAAAGGGAGGGGGTAAACTGTCACAGTTTTGCCTGTAAGGTCGATCGGAAGGCCAAACTGTGTGTGTATGGGGTGCCTTACACTCAATTTTTGTTCTTGCTATCTGCATATGGTCAGCATACTCAATCTGTTATGTCCTGATGCTATCATATAAACAACCTTCAGAGGTTGGTTTGCTGGAGAGGGAAAATCATTTCACTTACAGGAAGTACTGCTAAAGTTATTTTGTTACTGGACCTACAACTACAAGTTCATGGCACAGGCACACAGATTGTCCCCCATCTTATATAAATTTCTCTCTTAAATCTAAGTGACATAACATTCAATCTCATTTTTCAAATTATAATTATCACGTACATTTTAACATAACTTTTCCAGCAGGGTAAAATTATGTAGTGTTCCTATGACTGTACCCATCTACAATTACCAGTTTCTCTTAAAATAAAAACTGACAGTAATGTATCCGTAATATTAAGCAGGGATGTGCTAAAATCCAAATGTTCAACTTCTGGGTTTAACTTTAACATTTTAGTCACTATTCTTGCAGAAGTGTATTCTTGCCTCATAGGCCACATCTGTGACACTATTAACACCAGTAATTCAGAAACTTGCCTGCAAGCATGTCAAGAACTTATGTAACATAAAATGTTCATAATTCTGAGATCTAGAGATTTTATCCAAATTATATCTTTATCTGACTGATGAATAAAGTAAAAATGTAAAGATAACATTGACCCTGTGCTTAATTAACCACTAGGCCATGAAGACATTCCAAGGAGTGGAGGTATAGCTCCACCATTCTTGACCTCGGCATTAGATGAGGGTGTATGGCCACTTTACCCCATGGGAAAGAGGTCCTTGTACCCATTGGATAGGGGCTGGGTGGGCCCCACAGCCAGTCTGGACAGTGTGCAGTAGAGAAAATTCTCTTGCTTCTGCTAGGAATTGAACCCAAGCTGTGCAACCCATACCCCATCACTATACTGACTGAGATGAATAATGAGTGAACATTTAAGATGATCCATTGCACTGCTCACACACACCCCTGCACTAAAATAGTAACATAAAATTTTTATAGCAATTTCTTCCTTTACCATCTTGGATCCAACATGGAAAGTTGTTGCAGCCATGATGGCACGATGGCTGCAACAAAGTGTCCTTAACAAATATTGCACTCATCATCAAGGGAGGAAGTCAGTTTACTTTATGATGCTATATTGTTTTCTCATTACAAGGCAAAGAAAACAAAGACTTCCAGCATAAGCACATTATTAAACAGCAGTGGAAAGGTGTATTAATATTTGGAGAAAATAGACAGTGTGATCATCTGCAAGTTGCTGAGCCACTCAGGCAGACAGGAATGTCTGACACTCCTGCTATCTAACTGGGATCCAAAGATTCACACTTCCTAGCGTAACTGACAACTGACTTTTATTTGTAAAACAAAAGTTAGAAATGCTCTTTGCTGCAGTTGTGACTGTTACCGGAGAAAAAAGTGGTAATACCAAGTGCTCATGGAACAAGCATTAGATGAAACAGGTGCCAGACACAGGAAACTGGGCTTTACGTTTCAAGTTTATTTTACTTTAAAACACGAACTTTAACACATGAATGAGAACTTTTTATGGAGGTGCCAGGAATGCATATGTAGCAACAGAGCATTTCCAGTAGGTCCACAGTCCAACCAGGCAGAAGGAATGCCCGATACTTTCACCTGAGTGGTCCAACAATCTGCAAGAAGCTGACATTATTGCACTGTATTTTCCAAATGCAGTCATTATAGTTTTGAATCCCCCACTGGCCATGTTTATCTATTGCTGATAAAGACTATTGTTCCCAATGACAATAAGCAATAGGAATCATAATCATAAATTATTTCTTCCTTATAATTTATTAGACATAAAAAGTGTCAAAATTGTAGGCCCTAATGAGACTTACAGTTAGTTTTTCCAAATTTTTTATGACAAATAAGTGGTTTATCAAAACCTCCTCCCACACAAAAGAGAACATTCTGTGAACACAGGATTTATTTTTAAGTTGGTTATTTAATGACATTGCCAGCATGGGATGACACAATGACTAATGAATATGGGCCAGTTGGTGGAATGAAAATTGGCAGTCACAGAAAACCGCCATAGTGCCATTTTTTACACAAGTTGCACATCTGACTTGAGATCAAACCTAGGACTCTGTGATTGGAAACCAGCATCTAAACACCCAAGCTATGGCACAGCCCTGCTTTGGTTGAAGAGATGATCATTGATGATTGTTGTTTGTATTCTCTCTCCCCTCCATTAGTGTAGGTGAGAGCATATTGTATTACCATTACTAGGTTCTTTTAAAGTCATCAAATGGAAGAACTATTTTCAATATGCACAAACAATGCTAGCACAAAATTATCCATGTGGTGCATGCTGGAACCCTTCCTCTCTTACCTCACACACAGTATTAAGTTTTTTACATATTTTTAAAACAATAAGGTGTGTACTGACACAATTCATAAGTACTGACTCCTCCTTACCAGCTGATGCGGCATTATAAACAAATACAAAGTAGAAACTATACTTGAAATTGTTAAAACAATCAAACAAATGGCTGGAAACTTTTGTGTTCTTGTAGTTCATGCAATAACTGGTAGATGGTTCTCACAATATTCAGGTACTAATCAGGCCATATGGAAAGAAAGAAAAGGAAAGGCAATAAAATACTGACATTCCTAAGTTTACATGCCTTAACAAAAAATTCTACAAGACAAGAAAAAAACATCAGCCTTTTGTAATTATATAATTGCCAAGTACAATGAAAAGGAGATATGTAAAACAGAGTTAGCGACTGTATTCCCTTTTCCAAAGGGAGACAAACCGGATATGCAAATGTAGTCAGGCTGAAAAGGTAGCCTGATAAATTTCCAGCCATGTGTCTGAATGTGTTCAATATAGCGGACAAAAAAAGAAATACAAGTTTCACAAATATCTGTCAAATCAGAGTATTTGAAACATCATAATATACGCAGCAGTATATCTGCATAATATAAAACTGTGACGATCATTCCAGGAGACTCTTGAGCACCAGACTCATAAAAATATATTGACCTCACAAAGGAACTTGTCTTGGCATGTCCTTAAGGCTTGCAGCTGTGCTACGGCTGTTGCTGCTGCATCTGGGCCTGCATTTGAGCCAACATCTCCTGCATCCTGCGCAGCTCTGCTTCCTTCTCTTGAAGGATGCGGTCCTTCTCCACCGTCCCCTTCTCCTCCGTACCCAACACTCTGCAACACACAATCCACCTGCCTGAATTTAGCCATCCATGCACGTTTTCTTACATATATTAATTCTAAATAAGGACTTCCTCAGTGTAATAGATCTTGAGTACTGGCTGCCAAGAACAGTAATTTGAAAGGTAATACAACTGTTACCATCTCTGGTGGCAGTGAGACAACTGCCTCATTACATTACTTTTGCCGAGTTAAGTCATACAGGCTTGAAACCATCCTGGTTGTGAAGATTGCAGTCTTCTGGGATGAGACATCACATACGAGACTACACAGCATCCTATCTCAGAAGCCTGTGATTTCAAACTTGTCACCAATAAGAACCTAAAATCCATCCTGGTATACTTCAGTCAATCCTCCATATCATCATAAATGTCTGAAAGATAATGCCCATATGCATTCTAGTGTTTGAAAATTCCACTCACCAAAAACTCCAAAGAGGAAAATCTCACTTCCATCTTTTTACAGTTAATGAATATTCCAGTACATTTGAATTGATCTGCAAAACTGATTGGATTAAACTGTTTCTTCAAGAGTATAAACTGAAGAATAATTCAGCTCTGATATGTATACAGTGCCCATCTTGTAGTGCACTCAATTTCACCTGTTACTTCACGACATGTTTCGGCAACATAGTGCCATTATCTGGTGCCCTAATTACGCTAAGCTATTGCATTGCTTGCCATTATATGTCTTTGTAAAATTATTTAAAAAGTATTTAAAAAGTGCGTATTCGTCAACTATAATAAATTTACACACACTAAAACTTGTTAAGATTATTCAAAGTTTTAGTCTTAATTAAAACTGGCAGCTAAAAAGGGAACACACATCACAAGACACAGTTTAGACAGAATATAAGAAAAACGACCCCCATAGTGGAAGAAGCACATGCAAGTTTTAATTAAGACACATAAGATGAATAATCTTAACAAGTTTTAGTGTGTGTAAATTTATTATAGTTGACGAATACACACTTTTTAAATAATTTTACAAAGACATATAATGGCAAGCAATGCAATAGCTTAGCGTAGTTAAGCTTTTGTAGTACCGCGTTTTGCCGCTATGAGCGCATAGAGCTAACATTCCTGAGTCGATAAGCCGACTACCGTTGCTTCAGAAGGTAAGGACTAGTTTCGGCAGAGTTTATAGTGACAACTGTTTTGTGTGATCGTCGTTTTTGCAATGGCCCGAACACATGAAAATTTTGAAAAAATCTGTGAAATCATCAAGGAAGATCGACAGTGGACCATTGAAGAAATTGTGGAGCTGTCGGGAGTGACTTGGAGCTCAGTTCACCAAATTTTGACAGAAGATTTGGGAATGAAAAGGGTGGCTGCGAAATTCGTGCCACGACTGCTGACTGCTGAACAAAAACAAGGTCGCGTGGAAGCATGCCGTGCTTTGAAAGAAGAGTCCCGAAATGATCAAAACTTTTTTTCAGCGTTTTGCTGATGTTGCTGAGGTGAAGGAAAAAAATGACGGAGGCGCTGTCAAGCATCACAAAAGATGAATTTAGACAATGTTTTGAAAAATGGAATAAAGACTAGACAAGTGTATTAATGTAAGTGGAGAGTACTTTGAAAGGGATTGAAGGTTTGTGCTTAAAATTTGAATAAATAAGTTCGGTTTCTTTTGGGTACCCCCTCGTACATATCATGGATGAAAATCAGTGCAACAGGATGCTAAAATACAACATAATTCAGCTCTACTCAGGAAATTAATCTCAGGAATGTGCATTCAGTAGAAAATTAAATACTGAAATTTTCATCAAAATCACACTTATATATTCACTCTGTACACTATACTGAGTTCCAACAACACCAGCAAGACATTCTCAAAAATGATTATTTGCCAAATTTTATTTTAATTTTACTTTCATTAAATAAAACAGGTGATTCTCCTATGTCTGAGAAAGGAGACAAATGTCTGTAATAATGCAACTTTCATCACATGTGAAGCCATGTGTCTAATATCTTTGTTGACACTAAACCAAGAATATGATACTTGAATATTCTTATATTGATACTCTGGAGATGTGCATTTGTTAACAGATATGCCATGGTTACCAAATATCACTTAGTATGAGGGTGTACATGATCCCATGTGGTGATTACTGAAAACATAATTACAGCATGATCTGTACGACACTACTGCTATTACTAAACCTTGATACTATCACAGCAGACAATGAAAAAGAGACAATACAGATTTCTTTCTTCTCTCAAAGTACATTTGGTGCCAGTTAAATTAATGCTTATCAAGTACATTGAAAAGACTATGGCAATAGTACGAGTAATGTATACACTATTCTGTGGTCAGTGTGTGATGGAAGAAATACAAAGAACAATAAGTAAGAGCATGCCAGTACAGTTCGATCTCGGACTACAGGCCACAGAGTATGTTATACCAGAAAAGAATTCTGCAGGCCTATAATGGGCCATTATAAAAAAAATACAAGAAAAAAATGTTGTCTGTGTAGGAAAACTATTAGTTTCATAAGGAAAAACTATGAAATTATTTTTCTTCAAACTTTCTGCTGTGATGGGAGGGCTCTTATATATACTCAGACAAACAGATAAATCTGCATAAAATTTTACAAAGTCAATGTCTAGATTACTGATTCCAGTTGTCACAGAGTTTATTCACATTTCTTTCAGTGCTGTCCTTGTGATGGTGTGATCCTCCATGTGGCAAAACCCGTTGTTTTAATTTAGGTTGTAGAAGAGAAGACACCTTAATATAACTGTATGAGATTATCATAAGAAAAGATGACTTCCTTGAGTTCATCAATTCCAGGCACATCACAGCAATTCATAATACACATCAGCCAAATTGTTCATGCTCGTACAATCATAAGTTCCTACTATGATCATGTAATCTAGGACATACATATTTATTGTCACAAAAATTATGGTACCTGAGAATGACAATAATGGTGGGTCTGTACTTACGTCTGCCTCTTAGGTACAGGAGCACCTTTGGCCAGTCGCTCGGAGCGGTAGTTTTCATAATGAACCTCCTGTGTCACCTCTTGCAGGTCCTGCATGTGTGTGCTACAAAAGAAATGTGTTCTGTAATACATGTCTAACTCAGTTCCAGCTGGCAGTTAGTTATCCAGTCTCCAGCAGCAAGGCCTGTGCTTTGGAACATAATCTTGAGCCAATGTGATCCAGTTCACATCCTATGGTGTGATGGTCAAAATCAGCAGCAGTTATAAATTAGGCAGAGGAATAGAGTACAGGCTCTGATATTCAAACAGGTTCTTGTCTCTTAAAATATGGATATACATTTGGATGGTTCCTCCCTACAACATTGTATTTATAGTAGGCCCCTGAATTTTGGATGTAGAGGATGAAAATGTTAAATTTGATAAGATATGTTAAAATCTTTATTTAGATAAAAGGGACTGTTTCCCAGGGGGTAAAGTGGCTGGGGCATGAAGCTGACCACCCAACCCCATCTAGTGCTGAGGTCAAGAATGATGGAGATACCTTCACCCCCATACATCTTCATGGCATGGTGCTTAATTATTAAGCCCAGGAAAAATTTTCCCTCTGTGCAATACAAACATCTTGGAATTTGTAATGGAGCTACAATTAACACCTATGAAAGAGACAGCCAGTTTATTAAGTAACCCTTATACTTTAAAAATGATTATTACTACTACCGAATGTTCTCAGTTCACAACTTGAAATCAATATGACTGAAACCTGCAGCTCATAGCGCAAGCAATGCTAACAGCATGCACTCACATAAGCATTGTGCGCAGCTTGATGAAGTCACAGTGGTCAGGATTTTCAACTTCAACAACACCCCAGGGGTACAGTCGTCCTCGAACTTTTCGTCCACGTACTTCCAACAACGTGTTCGCTCCACAGACTGCAAACGGGACAGCTTCCTTCAGTTGTCTTACCTAGAAACATATTTCCACAGTTCTAAATTTTTTGCTGTTACAATATACACAGAAATAAATATTCAGCAAATAGTATAATCAGTAAGTTATTCTCAAATTGTTGTATTTTAGCGTCCTGTTGCACTGATTCTCGTCCATATGTATGTATTGGCCGTCTTGTAGTGCACTCAATCTCACATGCTTCAGCATCACTGTGCCATCCTCAGGTGTGTTATTTACGTCAAGCTATTGCATTGCTCACCATCATGTGTCGTTTATAAAATTATCTAAAATGCACACTCTTCACTAACTATAATAAAATTTATATGTATCAAAATTTGTTAATATCCATCATCTTACACGTCTTAACTTAAATTCGCATACTACATCTTTCCTCCACTATGGGAGTCGTTCTTCCTATATTTTGTGTGTATTGTGTGTAAGACGTGTAAGATGATGTCTATTAACAAATTTTGATACATATAAATTTTATTATAGTTAGTGAAGAGTGTGCATTTTAGATAATTTTATAAATGACACACGATGGCGAGCAGTGCAATAGCTTGACATAAATAACACACCTGAGGATGGCACAGTGATGCCAAAACATGTAGTGAAGTGACATGTGAGATTGAGTGCACTACAAGACGGCCAATATGTATTCTCAAATTGTTTGAATCTGGGGATTGGAAGACACTCAGCTTACAGCATTTTGAGAAGGAACTAAATTCCTTCAGAGCCCTAAAAATGAAAGCATCTACAAACATGTAATTTATAAATTACTATAAAAAAGTTTATATGTAATGACGTAACAGAATTCTTTTTTTAAAATCTGTTGTGGCCAAAGAGTGTTCTAGAATGGGGGTGGATAACTGTTCTGGCTGGAGAAGCATATCAACAAAGTAATTATGCTTTATTTATAGTAAAACTGTAGATAGCTAATTTGTCTCCCATTTGTACATACTGGATACTATGAGCACACAACACTACCTGAGGGTCCACAATCAGGACTAAACATGGGTCAGCTGATACAGTCCTACCTGTTCCTTGTAATCTTCATCTTCGTCACTGTCACAATCTGGGAGTGGATAGATCTTAATGCCATTACTCTCAATCTCCTCCATCACCTACAGCACAACAAATCACCATGTGCAGTCACAGAACTGAACTCTAGAATATCCCAATATGCACAAGAAATATGGTACATTACATTCTTACTCTTTTCTTCAGCCTCAAAACCTCCTTCTTAGTTAGGACATCTGCTTTTGCTATAACTGGGACAATGTTCACTTTGTTGTGCAACTGCTTCATGAACTCAACGTCAAGGGGCTTCAAGCTGCAATGAACAAGATAGAAAATGCAACAAATTGTAATTTATAAACTATCCCACTAAAATGGACCTTAAGCAAACATGGTAGAAGGGCCCTGAACCAGGTGAATCAAGTCCAGGATTCATCTGGTTCAGGGCAGGCATCAACATAACATTCTTGTAAACATGGCACTGAATTTTTCAACACAATCAAAAGTAGGGAATTTCTTGACTGAGGAACTATTACTTCTCATGAAAGATTCTCCTCTATACAGTAACTTAAGTAATTAATGCTTTCCAATTTTTGTTCCACATTCAGATTAAAAACAGCGTCTTGTGTGACAAAATTCTTACCCATGTCCGAAAGGGGAGATGAAGTAAAAACAGCAATGAATTCTGTTATCAACAATATTTCTTCTGTTCAAACCACTTTCATCCCTCAAAAATCTTTCAAACTGGTCATCTATGTACTGAATTATTGCCCGGAAACTGGGGAAAAAGAAAAAAAACTTCAGTTACACAAAGCGCAATTCATCATTCCAATATTCTGCATATTCCATTACAAGACCTTCACCTGTCAGTATTGTCAATAGAGTCTCCATATCCTGGAGTGTCCACTACTGTCAGTCTTAGTTTCACACCCCGCTCCTCTATCTCTACCGTCGAGGCATCCAACTTCACGGTTTGATGTGTCTTCTCTGTAAAAAGAAAAGAAAGAAAAAAAAAGCGCAAAATTATGGGCTACAAAGTGCTCAAGTGTGCAGCACGTAACTTACAAACACAACTTAGGACTTACAACTTACCTACAGCATCTGGAACAACACGTTCTGGATACAGATCAGTTAGGAAAAGGCTATTTACTAGAGTTGATTTCCCCAATCCTGATTCTCCGACAACCATTAGTGTGAATTCGAAGCCTTTCTTTACAGATTTCCGATGTACTTGAATAGGTAAATTTGCAAATCCAACATAACCTGGCGTCTCCAGACTCGCAAACTAGAACAAACACATATATTACAATGATGATTAACCACTAACCCATAATTAATCTTGCCGACAGGAAGCAACACAAATTCAGACACATGTACTTCTAATAACCCCCATTTTTTTATATATATATTTTCATACTACAAAAGGCCCATTATGTATTACTATTTATTTGGTACACTTACGGTCTTCACAGATTCACTAGACATCTTACTTTCACTATTCCAAAACCAGCTACTCCAAAAATTAATATTCTAAACTACAATACATTAACTTCTAACTAAAACCAACAAATGCCACACCGCTAAAACCACGGTTTACACGGAGCAACTTAACTGACAGCTACAGGAACTACAGGTTAATATCCGTCGGCATGGCCGACAACTGCGCTGCACATTAATTCCCTCCAGATTTCACGCATACCAGATATATCATCTGGCGGCATCGCTCCTAATAAATAATTACAATGAAGAGTAAAAGCACAACGTGCTTCCTGAGTAAAATTAATTCTCCTTGCACGAGAAACTGAAAATCAATGTGTCAGTTAAAATATTCCTCACTGCATTGTCAGACCTTTTACGTAGCGAACCAGTGTGCGCCACCGCGTTATAGATATTTACCGTTACGTAACCATTAACAATTTACTAAATTCTATTTTAGTAAATACAGTTGGTGAATTGGATTCTCTGACAACTTGTATACACCATTCCGAACTACACTTTGCAGTTCACTGACACGCACACGCAGGAGTAGTTCCCTCAGTCTTACTACAGACACCTTAACCGTTTCTTGGAAGCGGCTTCTACTGAGATTCTTCAGCTTCCTGCACTCAGGCCGCTTTGTCACAGCTGCCCGTGCAGTATTCTTGTCAAATGACAACAACTTGGTTCCGAGGCTGGCAGCCATTTCTCACCAACCTCCTAGTCTTCTCTTCACAGGTTGACTTTCAAAAGGTCTTGTTTATGTGGGGCAACATCTCTGACTAGAGGAAAGGTCTGTCTTTTTCCATACGCTACTGCCCCTTTGCTAGCAGATTTTCTCGGCTCTGAATACCTTGGGACTCGCGACTGTAATCTTACGGTCTCAGATTTGAGACTTCCATCTGTGTCGCCTCCTGACTCATAGGGTCACAGTGGACATATTTAACCCCCTCCTCAAAACCCTGTTCTCGAACGCCCTGTCTATGTTCCTCCCTTAATGCCAGACACCGAGTTTCACGCCCATACAGAACCACAGGCAAAATTATAGTTTTGTATATTCTAATTTTTGTTTTTGGACAGCAGATGACAAGACAAAACACTCATGACATAATTCTGTCTCAGATTTGACATTCCCCAACCTAGAGGGCCAGGTCCCCTTATTTATAACCCCCAGGAACAGGGTGGCCCAGTATACCCCCAGGCATTGGGCTCCCTTTCTCATCGCCTCCAAAGACTCACAGGGCTACAGTGAATATATTCAAACCCTCTTCCACGCAGGGTAGTTGCATCATATGAGCTTGTGCATAGATTGGTGTTTAACGAAGTACGAGCCAGTTTTACTTTTCCCATTTATTTTTCATGACTGTCATTTTCAAGATTTTATAGTTCATGCCCTCAAAACTTCTCCTTGGATATTCAAATATTTCCAAACTGTTGGGTGGGGTTGGGGAATAGACTTTTTAAATCCTATAGGTTTCCATTTTTTTTTTAGTTTGGGTGGATAACAGGTATGTCTCAAATTCTCAAAAATGCTATAATTTGGCCAAAACTTTTAAAATGTGTTAAGTATTTAAATATTTCACAGCTTAAATTAAAAAAAATACTTGACTTTATTTAGAAATTCTGTAAATTTGAACAATATTTTTGTTATATTCTCAAAACAAGAAATCAAACACACATCACTACCACTTGGCTCATGAACAGCGGTGAAATTCAACCTGATCATTTCCTTACACTTGCTCCTCTGCACCTTCTGTACATAAGGCTGAATGAATTTACACTGGGTTGCAGGTATTCATCACTAACCACTATTAGATACATCTACTACTAAGCCATGCTTTGATCTGCACAGGAAGAATGTGGTGGAAAACAACAGCTGAAGGTTATATACATAAAAACAAATACAGAATTACATGCCCAAGGTGGAAGCAGAATCTATAATCCCAGCATTCACTTGGCCTGTAAACATGCATGCTGAACTACAACCACTCAGAATGGCCTAAATGTGAGTGCTTAATAGAACAGTGTTGTCATGTTGATTTAAGAGTTAATAATATACCATAATTTGACTTAACTAAAAGCTTACACAGATTAAAAATTAAATAAAACAAAAATTTCTGTAAACAATAGTGAAGTGGGTAACTAATGAGCAGCACTAATAATTATTGTAACTTAATTTCATTATACATGATCGAGAGCAACTGATTAAACAATGTAAATTATTTACAGTACAACCCCAATATGGCTTTATGTTATTTACATTTCCTGCATTCTGGTGTTATGTGTGTACTGCAAGCTTTCACCATACACAAGTGAAAGAGTATTTCAAATCAATTAAAACATTTTTAAAAATTCTGGTAAATTTCGTCACTAAATAATAAAAAATGGGAGTTTCTTTCAAATGGCTTATTTATAAATAAGAGAAAAATCTGGAAGTATAAAAACTATACCCAATTTTAGAGGACTCGGAATTCTTAAATCTGGATAGAAAAAAAAACAGAATTAGGCATGAGACACATCAACAGCACATCAATGAAATCACAAAACAGATATTTCTGTCTTTCCACCAGTCAGCATCATCATCAAGTCAGGCCAAGATCATGGTATTCACAAGTTTATTTCTCAGTCTCTGTCATTGGGGAACAAGATATAAATTATATGCAATTTCTTGGAGCTAAAGCCATCTTTCACTCATTTTGAACAATAATCCTTATGAATAAGGCTCAGAGCAACAAATTCAGTACTGAGATGAGTTTAGCACAATAGCTGGCTCCATTTTCCATTTACTGCTAATGAAACATCCTACACATAACATATATCATACTTCCGATTTTGCTTCTTTAACTCTTTGACTGGCGCGGGCGTGTTTTAACGCCCGGACGATGCCAGCCATTCCCTGGCGTTGGCGTGTTTTAACGCTTTGACAAACTCTTCCCTTCTTTGCTCTCTTGGCACACATCAACCAAAGACATATATATGATAGTTTTTGTGCATGTTTGTAAAGAACCCTTGTAAACTTTGTGGGGGTCTATACGAGTATTACTGTCAGAACCCTCTGAGAAGGAAAAGGTCAGAAAATATTTCACATTCATTCAGTTTCACCATGGCTTCTTGCAGCAAGTGTCTTCGTGTTCCTACAGACCAGTTGGAAAATGTTGTGAACGAGATTTGTTCTGATGATGATAGTGGCGATGAAATAATGATTCCTGAATTGGATGAAGTTGATAGTGACAATAATACAGTGATAGACAATGATCCACAAGACAGTAATCATGAACATTTACCTACCACGAGTGCGGTGCCTGACACGCCCATCTCATGAAATGAACGTAC